CCGCCGCCGCCGCCGCCGCTGCAAAATCAGTGCGGTCCCTGGGCCGCAAGATCCCGAGGAGCAGGCGAGGGCAGAGAACCGCCCGGCTCTTCTCGGGCCCCCAGGTCACCTGGACGTTTGCGCCCAGGGGTAGCGCCCGGCTAACTGGATCGGAGACCACCAGGAGGGGATCAGGCTGGGGAGGGAGCTGCGTCCCAGAAGAAGCAAGGCCAGCTGCGTCTGGGCTCTGGGCAGGGAATTGGCAAGCTGGGCTTGAGGGCACGAGGCTGGGCTTGAGGGCAGGAGGCCACCTCAGTGAGACCCAGGGCTTCCCTCTGGCTCTGAGTCTGCGCATTTCATGGCTCCCCCTCAAAGAGGCAGGGATGAGCAGCCAGTTTCCAGAAGCCAAGGTCAAGGGGGGAGCAGAGAAGAAGGGAAGTGCGGCCACCCCTTGCCCTGGGCCCCCAATGTCCTGCCCTGTTAAGGAGCCACAAATTTTGGGTCACAATAAAAGCCGGTGTGGTCCCCTTGAGCCACGAAGGGTGCCACGGCCTGGCTCCTGGCATGATTGTGGCAAGGACCAATTGGCATGTTGAACCTCCTTTGCACGGTGGGGGATGGCCAGGAGGTGGCAGCCGGGAAGTGCCCCCAATGCTGGTGCTTTGGCGCCACGTAGTGGTCCTTTGCAGTTCTGCAGCACGATCACCGGGCTTCGCACACTTTATTCCCCATGGCTGTCACAACTCTTAAAAAAGGGAAGCCTGGGTACCAGGGAGGGCTTCGTCAAGGCCGTCGCTAAGCTGGGTCACCCTAAAAGCCGTTTGCCGGCCTCTTCCATCTGCCCTTCCTCTCCAGTAACTTTGCACATAAAACTCGGGCGGAGCTTCAGTCACACCCTTGAGGCCACCATCTTGACTTATTTGACTGCACCTGTGGACATCCAAAAAAGGGCCCTGCAAGGTAGCAGAAGCACTTATGCGGAAAAGTAGCTTTTTCTTCAGCGGAGTTCGTATCTGCAGTGGAAGCCTTTAGAAAGGGCGCCATTCTGGGCAACAGAAACTCCTTCCCCGGGTTCATAGAAAGCCTTTTCCCATCATGGTCCCACTCGGCCCGGGGGCTTTAATCGTGACGCCTCCCACCGAGGCCCTGTAGAAGGTAAGCAGATGGCGTGATCTGAACATGCCGGGCCGGGCGGGCCGGGCCTGGAGACGCCGGTCAGCCATTGGCAACTAGGTGGTCGCTTTCAGAACCAGCAGTCACCCGTGGCAGATTTTGAGTTCACCGCCTTATTTGCTGTCAGAAGAGCAATATTAAATTTCATCGCAAGCCTCTCAGAGTAGGGAGTCAATACAGATGAAAACAAAGACAAATGGCCCAACTTAATTTCATTAGAGTTTTGCTGCTGGGTGCAAACCAGAGAACAGATGCATTATCTAGTGTGCGCGTGTACGCGTGTGCACGGCGCATTCATCCCCCTAAGAGTAAGCGATATTTTGGCATCCCTAAGCAATCGCCAGCCGGCCCCTTGGGGTGCTCCACCTGAGGTGCGTGGTGGGCAGAGCTAACGGGCGAGAAGCAGCAATGCCAGTTCTATGCAGAGGATCTGGGAACTGAGATGCATTTGACCTGAAGGAGCCACCCAAGGACGCAAGAAATTAATGGTGCCCGTCCAGCCCATTTGGGAACAGGAGCAGCTCCCTCCCGATGGGAGAAGGGAGAAAACAGAAAGTCCTGGGGAGGAAAACCAGGAGTGGCCGTGGGGTCAGGGAACCAGAAAGGCTGGGGCTGAGGAGGAACGAGGGGTGATTTCACAGCGATTGTTCTCCAGCTGCAACGTGTGTGTGGCAGGGGTGTGTGTGTGTGTGTGTGAGAGAGAGAGAGAGAGAGAGGACTGCTTATTACCACCACAGCCAGGGGGTCTCTGGTCTGTTCTTCCCAAAGAAGGAGGAAAGGGGGGCTGCAGCCCAAGGCCGCTGTTGTCCCCTCCAAGCTGACTTGCAATGGACTTTCTTTTCACCCTACCGGGAACACTGTGGGTTTTAGCAAATGGGTTCAAGTGGGTCCACGTGAGATCACTGTATCATAACCAAGACCCTTGCATTTCTGTTGACGCACGTGAGTTGCACCAGAGCACAAACCTCATCCCTAAATAGCCGCTGTCGCCCAGCTAACAAAGGGCAGAAGACCTGGGACAGCCCTGTTACGCCTCCACGCAGGGAACCTCTGAACTGACGGAAATAAAACCAGTTCTTCGACTGGGGCAAAGCACTGTCTGATTTTCAATGCGATTGCTCGCTGCCGCCCCAGAAATGCCCAGAAAACCACGCTTAATGTCTGCTGCGAATTGGAGCTGAATTAGGGGGCAGAGTTGCTAAAATGGCAGTGACTAGAAAGTTTTTTTCCCCATCATTTGAAACATCATCATTCTAGTGCTGTAACGGCTTTCATTATGACATGTTATTTGAGGCAATATATTACTTTTCCAGTGTTTTAGTGGTAATGAAAAGATGGGTGTTTAAAATGAGGTGAGAAGAGTGATGGCCTCTGCAGGCAACCATGAACGGACTCCTTGCCCGGCTCCTGCAGAGCCTCCAGGCGCAGGAGCCGCACAAGGGAAGCTGCCTGGCTCTCTCCTGCCTTTCTCCGGAGAACTGGCAACGGCCGAATCAGCGGAAACGGAGAAGACAGGCGTCTGAATGGCGGCGCTGGGGGGCCCGAGGACGCCCCAGCCAAACTCATGGATGGGAGACCCCCCCCCCCCCGGTTTCACAGAGCGCTTCCATCCCACTCACTCCAGTTTATTGCACCAGGCAGCCGGTCTTAGCCGTCTCGCTCAGGAAGGAGGGACGCAGCACGAAGCGCTCCCGCTCGCCCACCCCTGGCAATGCCCGAAGGTGCCTGGGACTAACTCGTTCACGCAGTCCTGAGGTTGGAACGGTTTTGCACACCGGCTGCGCAGCCTGGACATTGCCCTGGGCTGAGGCTCCCCTCCCTGGGATGTCTGGAGCTGTTTCAAGTGTCTTTGCTTCAAGGTGTTCTTGGGCCGAGGTTGCTCCCAAC